TCTTAGGAGTGAATTGGTTTTTTTTTCTTACCAACTTGTCCCTAATGATTATAGAGTTTTTGGTGCAGATGGAGTAAAAATAATGGTCAGTTGGCGCTTCCTAACAAGGTTACTGTTCTTTGCAACGGCGTGGAAGGCATTTATTTTCCAAGTCTTCACTCGTAAGAATAGGAATGAATGGTTTTCGTTTTTGGTTAGGACTTTTAGTTGGTATTAGTCTTGCTGGTTAAATTCATGTTACTTAATCATTACATATTTCACCTTGATAAGGAAGTCAATTTGACATTTACTTTGGTTGGGCATCTGAAAATATTTTATTTATGCATTTTCTTTCTTATGTTTTAGTGTTGTGTGCAAGTGCGGCTTCTGTGGGGCAGAAAAGCAAGCACTTAGTGAATGGGAGCGACACACAGGTTCCAAATCGAGAGATTGGAGGACTAGTGTCAGGGTGAAAGGTTCCTTACTGCCACTGGAACAATGGGTACTATTCTTTGAGATTCATGTCCTACCTCCCCACCATTGAATAGTATGCCTGTGCCCTCTCAATTTGGGAAACATACTCAAAATGCAATCTCGTTTGACTTTGCAGATGCTGCAGTTAGCAGAGTATCATGAAAATGCTCTCGTCTTCTAAACCTCCTAAACGGCCTTCTATTAAAGAACGAAAGCAGAAGTTGCTTACTTTTTTGCAAGGTATATTTGTTTTCTATGTTTGTGCAGATAATTTTACATTTGATGTAAACTAACTGCATCTCTCTGCTTGCTATGACAGAAAAGTATGAACCTGTTCATGCCAAGTGGACAACAGAACGATGCGCTGTATGTAGATGGGTTGAAGATTGGGACTACAACAAAATCATCATCTGCAACAGGTATCATCAACAAGGTTCATTAGTTTTCATTATCAAATCATGATGTTGGAGGGCCAACTGTTTGATGCCCCTTAGAGACTCCATAGATTATAAAGGCATGAAAATAAAGCAAATGTCTAATGTTTCTTTTCAATCAGATGTCAGATAGCCGTCCATCAAGAATGCTATGGAGCAAGAAATGTTCGGGATTTTACTTCGTGGGTTTGCAAAGCATGTGAAACGCCCGAAGTCAAGCGAGAATGTTGCCTCTGTCCTGTAAAAGGCAAGTTTCTAGCTACGGTACATTTGTTGAGTCGTGCTCTATCAATACACCAAATTTCATTTAGCTATCTTGGTCTCATGTCTTTGATCTGATTGTGCTTATGCACTTTTTCCCTGCAGGAGGTGCTTTAAAGCCAACTGATATTGACGCGTTGTGGGTTCATATTACATGTGCTTGGTTCAGACCCGAAGTCTCTTTTGCGAGTGATGAAAAGATGGAGCCTGCTCTTGGGATCTTGAGTATTCCATCAAATTCTTTTGTGAAGGTGGGTTCTTTGTTCTTGTATATTGTTTTTTGGCTATTCCATTTCATACTGGTGATAATGTTTATGATATATGACATCTAATCACATGATTGACATTGTTCTCTCAAAGACTTGTATTCTTAAATGTAACAAACATGGTAATGTAAAAAAGTGACACCTAACCCTTCATATCTACAATTAGTGAATAAAGAATTGAGTTGTACGATAACTTTGACATAGTGGATCTAGAAATGTTCCAGGATGCATCGTGTCATTGATTGTGATTCTAGTTCTTTTAATTTTATCTTATGGAATGAACCCTGAAATATTTAGCTGATCCAATCTGAGTTTTTTTTTTTTTTTTGTTGGCATCTGCTTCAGATTTGCGTTATCTGTAAGCAAATTCATGGTTCATGCATGCAATGTTGCAAGTGTTCCACTTATTACCATGCAATGTGTGCCTCACGAGCAGGTTATCGCATGGAGGTGAGTTACTCATTGCTCTTTGTTTGTTATCATTATATTCGTATTTATTAGTTTATGGCGCATTCTGATTGTGAATCAGACTACCTTATTTCTGGTGATGTGTGTTTGCATTTGTTTGTGCATTCTTAATATGCAGTTGCACAGTTTGGAGAAAAATGGAAAGCAGACCACAAAAATGGTTTCTTACTGTGCTTATCACAGGTTTGGGTTCTCGTATTGTCTTATGTCCTATTGCTTCCAAATTGTTGGTTTTCTTGTACTTATGTAAGTTCCTAACTCTTCTGTTTTTCATTTTTCGTGCAGGGCCCCAAATCCAGATACTGTTTTAATCATACAGACTCCTCTAGGAGTGTTTTCAACGAAAAGCCTTCTCCAAAATAAGAAGCCTGGTTCAAGGTTAATTTCATCTAATAGAACAAAGCTTGAAGAGGTTTTGACGGTTGAAACTACGGAGTCTGAGCCAGAGCCAGAGCCATTATCTGCTGCAAGATGCCGGGTATACAAAAGATTGAAAAATAACAAGGTATTCTACCTTGATGCCTAGTTGCCTCTACCATAAACATTATAGTGATCATCAATTGACATAAACAGTTAGATTGTTGAATTATTAGATTGTTGAATTAGTTTGATCTGTAATTAGCCTCACGATTATTATTTTTTTCTGATTCTAGAGAACCGAAGAAGAAATCGTTGCCCACCAAGTGAAGGGACCTTCCCATCATCCCTTGGAAGCAATTCGAAGTTTGAACACATTCAGGGTTACTTTTTGACCTTTAAGAATTTGATGGAATAGATAGTCTTTTTTATGCCTTTTTATATGGGATGTAAAATAAATGAACCTCAAACTGACATTTTTTTTCAATAGGTAGTAGAGGATCCTCCGACTTTTTCATCTTTTAGAGAACGGCTATACCATTTACAGGCAAGGATCTTTCTCATTTCCCATTCGATATTCAATGTTCATTTTCTTACTGTATGTATATGAATGCAGAGAACCGAACACGATCGTGTTTGCTTTGGTAGATCTGGGATACATGGATGGGGTCTCTTTGCACGTAGAGACATACAAGAAGGAGAAATGGTATGAAATTTGAACATTGTCTATCCTTAAGATTACCAGCTATTGTATCTTGAGAAATTAATCCATTTTGTTGAAAACAGAATGTACTAAGAAGCGTGCTTCTGTTTCAGGTTCTTGAATATCGGGGTGAACAGGTGAGACGTAGCGTTGCAGATCTTAGGGAGGCACGGTATAGATCAGAAGGCAAAGACTGTTATGTGAGTTAAATTCTTTTCAAGTGGTTTAAACAATTACCTTCAAGTCAACTCTAGTTGTCTCTGGAGCTATGTGATTCCCAAGTTCTGCTGTTTCCAGCTAGAATTTCAGCTCTTAAATTCTCTGTGCTCTTTTTTCTTTCCGTTTTTGCTTCTTTTCTCATTGCTCATGTTTACTCTGCAGTTGTTTAAGATCAGTGAAGAAGTGGTGGTAGATGCCACTGATAAAGGCAATATAGCACGCCTGATCAACCATTCGGTAAGTCATTGTGGTGATTGTTAGGGTGCTGTTCTTTTGTGATTTGCTCCTCTACTGTTCTTCAATAGATTCATTCCTGTACTCGTTGCCAGCTTGTTTCTGTCGTCACTGTCACTCGTCTTTACTGGTTTAATATTATTGCCCATCTTTACTACAGTGCATGCCGAATTGCTACGCGAGGATCATGAGTGTGGGTGATGAAGAAAGCCGGATTGTACTTATTGCAAAGGCTGATGTAACATGCGGCGATGAGCTAACGTATGTCTCTCCATTTCTCTTTCTCGCCATCTCTCAGTTCTTCACGAGGAACCTATTAGCTTAACACTGCTGCATATTCCGTTGTTGACTCTCGCAGGTACGATTACTTGTTCGATCCGAACGAGCCTGACGAATTAAAAGTCCCGTGTCTATGTAAAGCTCCCAACTGTCGCAAATTCATGAATTAGTAGGATGATGATGGAGATATACCCACTCACTTGCTCGGCCATTGTTTGTCCGCAAGGAACAACAACTAACCCTCCCTCCATATACCAAATTTGTAATTTTGCCAAGGAAAAAAAAAAAAAAAAAGAGCAGAGAAAAGGAATATTGTATTTTTATTTTCTTTTTTCTTTGGACAAACTTCCGAAGTTTAATAAAAGCTAATAGTTTTTGCCGGCTTTTCGGTTTGGGGTAATTTGTGTATATATCTGTCTATTACTCCTGAATTCTAATCGAACATTGTAGTTTCTTCGTTAGCGATGATATCAGGATAGCGATTTTAACACTCCTCTTTATAATAGAGTGTCTTGACATCGTCGTTTCTTCGTTAGCAAGGATTAATATGTCTTAATTGAGTGTTTCACCACCAGAACACGGCGTTTCAGTCCAATCCAAGTACTCTGCCATGCAGGATCGCTGGAGACAACTCGGTATCCTGCGTACGAGTACCATTGGCGAGCACCAAAATCATCCTCATAAGCCTGGACGGCAAGATACTCAAAACCCCATTTTACTGAGAGCGCGTCACACGCTTTCTGCACAACAGTTGCTATTTTCTTCGTCCTGAAACTCTTCAAAACAGCAATGCCGGACACGTAAAGATATTCCGGTGCCAGAGATGGGAGATACTGAAGGATAGCCTGGTCTCTGGACATCGTGACGCCCGCAACTCCCACAAGTTCTTGTCGCTCGGAAGTTTATATACAAGCCCAGAAAGCACTTCAGCCGGAAGAAGGTGAAGAAGAAATCTCCAGTTTGAGCATAAGCTGCCTTCCTCACCTCACCCCCATTTCTAAACAAACTCATGACCTTCCAACCAAACTCACTCACCAAATACTTGAACTCTCCCTTTCTGTCAACAGCAAACTTCCCACTTCCCACAAACCCTACTTCTTCCTGATCGGCTGACGACGTCTAACTGCTGCTGCTGCATAGCACCGAAGAAGAAGAAGTTGTTTTACAAAAATTAGCTGGTCTAGAAAGAGTAAATCCATATGATGAAATTTCTGTGCTGACTTTTGCTGATATGCTGGGGTAGCTTGCTGGTAAATGATGATATTTTCTGCTTTGCTTTTGGTTTCTTTTATTTTTTATTTTTTATTTTTAGGTATAAACTTGTCATGAAATTAATCAACAAGTATAAAACCTCTCTTTATATACTCAAAACAGGAGAATGGTAAGTTTAGTACATTTTCCAATTCAAATGATTTGGATATCAGGGTCTCCATGATCACATCCCTGTTGCAATCCTCACCCGTAACCACAAAACCTCTGCACACGACCAGAGAAGAATTGCACAGCCACGGAACTGATACTGTAAACCCCAAACCAGAATCTTTCCCTCCCACTACCACATCCTTGTATGCCTGCAGGCAAACCCTCGAGACGTACTTTCCCATTGGCAAAGTTGGCTGCAGAACGGATGGTGCAGAACCGTCAGGGTTCAAGATATCAGAATCTGAATGAAGGTTCACCACAACTGTGCCATGATCCGGGTGAAGCCGGCTACTGAGGGCTTTTAGAAATGGGGAATGTGGATCCCATAACTTGCGTGGGAATATGTCTTCCCCATCATAAGCATCAACGAAGACCATATCATACTGAATGGTGGTGTTGAGAACGAAATCCTCAGCATCGGATTCATGGAGGAACAGCCTCTCGTGGATGCCTTTCCACATAACGGTGTCCATGGTGTTGGGTGTCACGGCACGCTTGCCTGATGGAGTCATAATTGAGAAAGCCGGAAATCCCATGGCTCGAACTGAGGCTGAGATAACAAGAGGGTCGATTTCAACTACATCAACAATAGCACCTTGAAGTTTACTAGCCAAAAACAACGGTAAGCTTCCGCCACCGTGACCAATGCACAATATACGAATATTTCCGGTCCCAGTCACCGCGTTCATGAGATTGTAATTACAAGATGCTATAGTGGCCAACCCAGCTGCTATCATACTCTTAAGATAAGGAAGAGCCAAGCAATGAGGCTGCTGCATAAGGGCGATCGATTCCGGTTCCGATCGCCGATAGGCAGCCAAAACCTTAACGGTGCTCTGGCGGGTGTCGTCGTTAAAGCTGAGAGCGCGCCATTGATATCCGAGCACTCTGAATCTCTCGCTGTCCTGACGGCACTCCTGTATCTCTTCGTATCTTTGCTGCAGCCATCTCTCTGTCGACGCCCAATGGAGTTCGCTGGGTTTTGAGGAAGGATAGGCGACGACTGAGACAACGCCATTGCCTTTGTCGGATGTGGAGCGGAGGACGGTGTGGCCTTCGGATTCTTCCCCCCGCCACTCCGAGGCGTAGGACCAGTCGCCTTCGTCCTCGATACAGCGTCGTACTGCGGTTGAGAGCTTCCGGAGGTTCAGTCCCGAGCTCAATCCAGCTCTGCGCCACATGGCCGTACCCCGCAGGAAGTGAAAAACCCTAATCCAGCTCTGCGCCACATGGCCGTACCCCGAGCTCAATCCAGCCCTGTATCTCCTCGTACCTTTGATGCAGCCATCTCTCTGTCGACGCCCAACGAAGCTCGCTGGGTTTTGAGGAAGGATAGGCGACGACTGAGACAACGCCATTGGCTTTGTTTTTGGTTTCTTTTTTTTCTAATAACTTCCCTTACATCTTGAAATTTATTATTCTCTATAGATAGTATATGCCATTGAATTCTGCATTTTCTGATCCTTTGTTTATGTGGAGAGAGTGACGAAAAATTGGTACGAGGGAAGATAAGATGTCGTGTGCACGAGTGGTCCTAATTTCTCTGCATGGTTTTAGGCCAGAAATAATGATGCCACGTGGTCAGGCCTTAGACCATCTCCAAATGATGTATCAAATTATAAGAATCTAATTAGAATTGATGGTTGATGTGGTAATATGAAGACTTATGTCAAATTTTGTATTTTTCTATCCGAATTGTCAAATATTATTTTATTGTTTGAATATAGCTTTAAATTGTTGTAATTATTAAAAAAAATGTTGAAACAAAATTTTAATTGGTTGAAATGTTAGTGGAATAAGGGACCTACTATTATTATGAATTAAAATTAAAATTGACATTGATGTCAAATTTGACTCCAAATCACATAGCCTTCAAATCCAGTCAGCAAATAACACTTCGGTTGGAGAGACTTTTGATTCCAAATATGCACAGTGGCATTTCACCTAGAATTTTGACATCTCCTTTAAAGATGCTCTTAGGCTTGTAGAAAACTATACATATGCACTACCAGTCAACACTAAGGAATTCTTGTGTACAACCAACCGAATATATGCAGCACTCATTATGAGCTTGATCATGAACAAGTCTGTGTGATACATAGAAAGGTTTTGGTTTTGTGTATATGGTCAAACAGACAGTGTAGTACACCTTACTTTCTCTAGTTGTACTGAACTGTTGGACATAAGGTGTCTCTCCGATTTTGTTTAATTTTATTTCATGTCCATAACAAAACTTAAATGTTGACCTAACAAGGAAAACCAAGTATTGAATAGAAACAAACTGATATAGTGAAGCTAAAAATCAATATCAAAGAAATACAAAATTTAATCAAGTATATTAATTAATTGCATAAATGTAAGGGATTTATAAAAGCTTTCATCTTTTGGCATGTGAGTTTACAGTTTAGGGTTCAGAGTTTTCGTTCCACGTCCGCATCTTCTTTGCTGCTTCCACTAGGGTTGGGACTTGCATGGCCTCCACCAGGGTTGGGACATGCATAGTCTCCACCAGGGTTGGGACTTTCATGGTCCGACCCATTGATCACAGTACTTGCCGCACTAGCATTCCCGTTGTTTTCATCCTTTTTCTCTTCCATTATCTCAGTTCCTCCTCCGCTACCACCACTTGTTTCACCTTCCACAGCTATTCTCCTACCCCCACTATCGCTGCCATCACTCTCCTTACGATCCCCTTTACCGCCACTCTCCTTAACCAAAACCAGAGCCAAGTGAAGCGCTCCATTAACCCGGAACGACCAAACCTGAACAAGCTGGCCAGGTTTGAGTTTGTTCCTCTGAGCAACCGCACCCCATTGAGTTCTCAACACATACAGTTTGCTGCTTTTCATATGCCAGAGTCTCAAGTTTATATCTCCTTTTACAAGACCAGGGTCTATTAACTGAACCTTCATTGTTTGCTGTCCCTCAAGTAACTCCTTCTCTTTCGCTTCCAAGAAATCCATTGATACAATTTGGGCTTCAGGCATTGACAGTCTGTTTTCGCCGGGAGATATATCAGTCATGGTTATTCGCTTCTGTATCACCAAGCCCAGCCTAGTCCCCTCCAACCTTGCAATTTCTCTCTTGAATTCGTCAGGCAAGTCGTGATATTTCGGAGGCGTGGAAGGACTACCAATCGGTTCTTTCTTCTTCGGAGAGTTCTTGGTCGATCCCTTGGCTTTCTTGACATTGTTCTTCGGCATCACCTTTCGTTTCTTCCATCCCACGTCACCCCTACCAATAGCATTAGTCTCTCTCCGTGAGGACTCCATAGCAGAAGCCTTAAGCTTCGGCCCATCACACGACCTCTGTTTCTTCGGCGCACGATCATCATTTATCCTATTGCTAGACCATTTTCTTTTCAGAGAATGATCTGTTCTAGTAGAATCGATAGGGGGCGACCTTTGTTTCTTGGGCGGCTCGACTAGCATTGGCTTCTTGAGAGCCCCCTCTCTCATCAAAGTTTCTCTCTTTTGCTGCATTATCTCAACTTCAACCTCAGCAATTCTAACCAACCAGTCCAAACGGGTAAAGTTCTGAGGCCACTCCGTCAAGCCATTGAAGTATTTTTCACTTAATAACCGCGCCATCTTATCTTCTTCCTTTTCTTCTCGGAGAGATTGAAGAAGATTCAATTTGATGTAAAGCAAAGTATGGCACGAGCTTAGAACTTAGGACGAGTATAAAATGTATTGTTTTGGTTAAACCTGCAGGGGGGTGATTTTATAGGGTTTTTACAGTACTGATCAGTGTCTGATTAGGAGTTGCTGATCGACTAGAGACTTGCCCTTCAAGTATACGAATCTTAGGGTTTTAGGAAACCAAACACGCACAGGTTTAGTAATCCTTCCAAAACTAGGTATTGTAATTGCTCAAACATTGGCTATATGATTCTAATCGAGCTTGGAATTTCTAATAAAATCCGTATCTATATAGGAAACAAACCACTTTGGCTACAAACAAGAGGAAAATTGACACTTGTAAAATTTCTAATAAAATCCGTATTTATATAGGAAACAAACCGCTTTGGTCACAAACAAGAGGAAAATTGACACTTGTAAAATTCGTGCAAATATTCCGGAGATGTCCGGTCCTTCAGAATTCACTTCCAAAACAATTACAATTCTCCCTAGAAATAAATTGATAGAATAAAAAGTACGACCACTTCTTCCAAATGGTTTAAAACACTTTCCATAATACACACGTAAAAGACATTGCAAAACCTCAAAAGATATTTTTCACAAAAATTATGAACTATACCTAAGACGGAGGCAGGAATTTTTTTCTCGAGTGGGCTAATATTATTCTACGCTACATAACACGTTATAAGAGCTCCCAATATTGTTTTCACATCCACGACTAAAATGTACTTATAAAACATATTGGGCATGAATGAAATCATAATAAACAAAACTATAATTAAGTAAAAAAAAAGCAATATAATAAGAATAGCCAAAGACTCAAACAATCAACCAAAAAAAACTCAACAAACATTAAGAATGTAGTAGAATCATGAATCACATATCCAAATTTATAAGTAAAACACGTGAAGCATTGAAGCTTCTCATAACCTATTAAGTTTTTTCATTTTAAAAATCTCACTTGGGCTATAGCCCAAGCATGCCCTCAAAGGGATCCGTCCTTGACTATATCGACATTTTCAATCAGAAGCGACTGAAAAAACCATCATAAAACCTATTTTCGTATCTTTCTCAACCTAGAATAAGCTTCTCAAGATAAAACCTTTTCTTTTTTTTTGCATCTTTCTCAGCATGCATGCCAGTATTCATGATGAATCATTTTTGAAGAAGTTCTTTAAATTAAATGAATCCTGGCGTAACTTAGAGCTCAAAGTTTTTGTGAAGCACACACGATGAGTTCTCTAAAGATCTTTTGTGTTCTATTACAAATCAACTTTATCAGTGTTCCGTAAGTATTCATCGACTGATTTTGAAGCTCGAAGAAAAAAAAAGAAAAAAAAAAAGAGTACTAGAGACTCAATCATCTCTGGAATAGTTGTTAAAATAAAGATATACCTCTATTCATAAAATAATTAAGATGTTTCTTGAATGGAAACATAGTGATTACAACCATATATTGATCCAGAAAGTCAAGCTTAAAATCTTTATATATAAAGCCAACAACCCTTCTAGGGTCACAAGCTTCATAAAAAATTTTGGACAAAAATGACCCAAAACAAAAAAAAAATTAAAAACAATCCAAAATATTGCAGAGGTATTTTCGTCATTTTAATAGTGTTTTTTAATAATTATTAATTCTTTTTGTACTGTTTTTTTTAAATAGTACATCATAATAGGCTACCAATAATAATTCAATAAGTTGTTCATTAAATATTATTTCTCTATTTTTAAACACGTTCAAAACATCTTAGGAGGTGTGTAATGCCGATTATCAAAAAGGTTTTTCGCACACGCATAATAATATGATTAAATTAGTTGTCAAATGAAATTTTTTTTTTTTAAACAAACGATATTATCTACTTTATAGGGAAGGAGGGTGTGCTTAGCCTCACAATGGGCTAGCAATAATGTGATTCAATCAGTTGTTTATTAAATATTATTTTCTCTACTCTTAATTTAAATTCAATAGAATGTAGATGGAAATTGAAAGACCGATTTTATTATGTGACTTCAACTGCTTTGATTGGTTTGTGAGGGGTTTTTTCTAGTATGATCTAAGATTATTCATTTACTTAAAATATTTGACTTTCCTTTTGTCAATTCATGCGTATAAATATATTTAAAAAGTGTAAATCGCGCCGTGATTCAAAAAATACCTTATGCACACTCGTGAGCACGTGCATGAAACCTAGTCTTAATAATATCAAACAAATATATACAAAACCTAATCCAAAAGTTACTTGAAAAAGTGTAATTAAAAGCCTTTAATTATCACCTAGCTTCCTGAATGCCATTGCCAACTGCTGCTAGGCCTTGAATGGTTCCTCCACGCACTGTGCACAATCCCCATATAGTCCTACTCTAATAGTTGCCACCACCTCTTCCATTCTTCCATGATCTCTGCTCCGCCTTCGCTACCGCCACTATTTACTACTCCCGCCATCAACAATACTACTCTTACACTCGCTATCACCATCATCATCACTCTCCTGATGATCTCATCCAACACTGCTCCTCTTAACCAAAACTAGGGCTAAGTAAAGCGCTCTATTAACCTGAAACGACCAACTTGAACGACGTCGCCTGCTTTGAGCTTGTTTTTCCGAGCAACATCCCCCCATTGAGTCCTCAATACAAAAATTGCACTTCCCGGTTTTTTTTCCTTTCCCATTACCAACCGCCTCAGGTTTATATCTCCTTGTACAAGACCAGGGTCTATCAACTGAACCGTCATTGTCTTACAGTTCTCAAGCATCTCCTTGTCTTCATCTTCCAAGAAACTAATCGAAATAAGTTGGTTTAGAGGCATTGACATCCTATTTGTACTCGAACTTATATCAGTCTTGGTCAATTGTTTCTCTATCACCAACTCCACTTTGGTCCCGTTCAGCCTCTCAATTTCTCTTTTGAATTCTTCAGGCAAGTCATGATATCCAAGAGACGCGGAAGGAGTAATCAGTTCTTTTTTCTTCAAAGCTATATTCATCGTGTCTACGCCTTTCTTGGTATTGTTCTTCAACGACATCTTCTGCATCTTGAGTTCCACGGGAGTCCGATCCCCCAATTTCTTTTGAAAGAACGATCTGACGACCTATTTTTCTTGGCCGCCCAATCGATCATCATAGGATTCTTGATTTTACTCTTTCGCTTCACAAGTTCCTCCTGCATCAGGTCCTCAGTAGCGAGCCTAGCAACCTCAAGCATGGCTATCATCCTGCTCAGTGAAGCATCAAAGTCTTTTTCTGTGAACTCCACCATCTCGACAACGTCGTCTTCTTCTTCTCGTTTGCGTTCTTCCCCTTGGGAGATTGGAGAAGAATGCAATGTAGTACTGTATTTGTCACTGAGATATTCATAGCGTACTTAATAGTCGTCTGTGTCCCAAATTGCAAGCTTAGGAATCCTCTTAAAACTAGGGTCTAATGATACATTCTCAAAAAACAAAAAAAACAAAGGGAAGAAAGGAAAGAAACTGCTTGGCCAAAAGAAAAGGAAAGCATGAAGCTTCGATTTACCATATTACCTACCTTCCTGTATTTTCCTTTACTGAAATAGCAGAGAAGAGAAACTCTGGTTCTTTGTTATGATTTATATTGGTTCTCTTGTTGGTCAAGGATTAGGGTTGCATTGTGCTCCTCCATCGAATCCAATCCACCTGCAAGTTTCGTCCCTTCGCAAAACAGAGAAACAGAGCTAGAAATCATGCCGAAGAACAAGAGTAATGGAGGAAAGAACAGGAAGAGAGGTAAAAATGAGGCTGATGAAGAAAAGCGTGAGCTTGTCTTTAAGAAAGACGGACAGCTGCTCCGAATGCTGGGTAATGGCCGGCGTGAAGCCATGTGTGTTGATGGGAGGAAGCGACCTTGTCACATCCGGCGGTACAATGCATGGATAGTGATGAATTGGGACTTAGTTAGCTATTAATAGAATCCGGAATCACGATCCATCACGAATCGCGAACGAAGAGTATAGACTTCTGGCACATGGTCGGCTAGCAAAGGGCCAGCTTCGGTTCTATGAATGTTTGGAATTTCAGCAGATGATATCATTTTTGCCGGGCTTCGCGACTGTCAGGACGACAAAGCTGATGTGCTCCTCAAGTACATGCCTGATGAAGCTAGGCGCCTCAAGGCATTTGGAGAGCTTCCGGAGAATACACGTCTCAACGAGGATGAAAACGAAGGTGGTGCAGATGACTACGTAGAGTTTCAGGACGAAGATAACGAAGATATCGGTATAAAGTATACGAGGTTTTCAGATCAAAACTCAATACATCTGCTGAAGGATGTTATATTTTACCGTTTCTAATTGGATTGGAAGTTGGCTCGCGGCAGATTTAGAATTTGAATCTTGGGAGGTCCCAATGATAAAGGTCTAAGTTTTTAGATAGAGACATAGCGCGAAGTGTGCAAACAAATTTCAGTCTTCACGGAGGAATTTCATCAAACAGTTAGCAGGCTTGCTGTCATCAGCCTAATCATGCTATGCATTTATCAACAGATATTGACATATGCCAAAGCAAATTAATGAGAACCATCAAAAGCATTTGTTGAGTATTGTCAACGCAACATTCAGAGTCTCCGAAAGACCTTCACATACTTGTTTCCCGACCTTTATATGGTCTTGGGACCGCCTTGGTCCAATGTAAATCCGCCCTATGGTTTTGTATTTCCAGATGGTGAATTGGTCATGTTCCATATAACATTTGTTTTTTTCCTAATATATCTGCTACGCTTGTCTTCAAAAATACAAAATAAAAGATTTTGTTGATTAATTGAAAAATGTAGCAGTTATAAAGAAAGGAAAACTAGCTTTAAAAAAAAAAAAAAAAAAAAAAAAAGGAAAACTAACGAAAAGACCAAAAAAACTACCATTTTAATGAAAAGCCTTTTTTAAATGTATAGTGAATAGTACCAGGAAAATATATAAATGTGATTTTTCATTAAAAGTGAACAGTACCGAAAGTGTTTTGTTAAAACTCCCTATAAAGAATCCTTTAAATAGAGAAAACGAAAGCAAACCCTAATCATATAACGAGCAAGAAATCTTAATTCTTGACCCGCAAGAAAAGAAAGAGTACAGACACCTCAACTCCAATACACCGAATCGAAAACACAGAAAATACGAGACAAAGTGACAAGTCGTGATCGATCCTAGTCGCAGTTAAGCATGCAGCAATCTCATGACAAAGACACTCCAAATCATGTTCCAAGTGTTCATCCAAAGACAGATTAACAATTATACAGACGTCCTAGGAAACAAAAACTCGACAAGTAGAAGCTGAAAGCACACCATGCAAGAAATTCAAGCAACAAATTATCGACTTCGAAGAAAAGGGTGAAAATGCAGCACAACAAAAAACCAGAAACAGTAAAAACGAAACGCAACAAAGACGAGGGCTGGAGGAGAAACAGGACTACGGATGGGCAAAGCTCAAGGAGCCGAAAACCCAAATTTTGATTTTATTTCCTTGCTGAAATGAGAAGCCACAGAAAATAAGATGAGCATAACGAACTTAAAAACGCAATAAAAGGAACGGAAAAGAAAAAGAACATGGATATAGAAGAAATTGTTCAATGTGTACTTTCAGGAGAATGATGTATCCGACTTAAAATTACCGAATCAGACTCATTAGACCCCGAAATCAAAGCCTCACAAGCCTTTGGGGAGCTCTTGGGTATTATTAAAGGACCAGTTACCGCATCAGCCGCACCTTCGCTAGAAGCCTGACCAATTGGGTTATCATCTTTAGTCTTGCTAATCACATTTGAGTCATTAGCTGCTGCAGGTAAAGTGGTGGTAGCAAGAGATTCGTTATCCGGTGATGAGAAACCATTTGCATCGCCGTCATCTAATTTCGCCTGGTCCGAGGATTCTATTTCCACCCCATTTGACATTGTTTGGGGATCCCCTGCTTTGTTTCCACCATTATCATCAACTGGCATTTCCAACATAGGAGAAGGGACGCATGTGTCATTCTGCAACTCGTGATTTGGAGATGAAACTGGTACCTCCAGTCTCTCCTCGGCACCATCACCTGATGCAGTGCCAGCGTTTTTATAATCTGGAGCATCTGCCATTTCTATATCAGAAGCCGGGACTAACTCCTCTACTTTCTCCCCATAGCAATGGACTTTTGCTTCCATATTCTCCTGATTAGATGCTAAAATAATGTCCAATGCTCCTCCAGCAATAATTGGCAAGACTCTCGTTTCCATCCTCTGCTTCTTATAAAGATTCATCGCTTTCTGCAAGTCAGAAAATTAAAAAAAATGTCAGGCAACTAGGATGCAAGTACGTAAGCAAATACAATGACTAAAAGAAAACAGAGTCAAAATGTCAAAATAAAACCAAACTGAGAAATAGTAAAAGTAATCCGAGTAAATTATACAGTAACTTAACAACCAATTTAGAAATATAGTAGTAAACCATATATCCATTATGATAATACTCCTACCAAATAATAATGCCCAAGAATTATAACCTGCATCTTGCTCATGCATCAATTCAATATCCCACTTTTCCGAGTAAAGAAATTTCAGCTATTTTTTTCAAAAAGCAAAATCACCAGTTCAAATATTTACAAAAATGAGTAACGCCTGCATTCATACCACTAATTGCAGCCTCAAAATGCATGTCAGGAAATACAACAAATACAAAATGTATGACCAACTTCAGATAGAAATGAGCAAGATATATAACATTATCATTCATCATAAAGTGTACCTGAAAGACAGAATCCTTCAAAGGAGGAAAAGGCGAGGACCTCAATAAGATTTTGGACGATTTCAATCCTGCCCTTGCACCCTGTGACATTAGGAGAGTAAATGCAATCAGTAAGATTAGATTCTAGAAGCAAAACGCAATGAACAATTTTTTAGAAAGAATCTGCACCTCCACAATTGTGTGTGTAGTAGCATCTTCATCAACAATTGGGCTCCGCTCAATACACTGCCTATACACCTCAGGATGAGTAAGTTTTGCTGAAATGTCAAGCTTGGAAAGATAATAATGACTTAAACAGAGGATGTCATCACTTCGTAATTTAGAGCGACCAGGTGACTTATCATGACTACTTTTAGGCATAGACTCCTTTATAGGAGAGGTCATAGTGGACCTTCTTTCAACGGTTTTAGAAATTCCAAGATCCAGGTTATCCTCATGGTGAGGCGCCTGACCCATCTTCCCAGCCACAGCATCATCCATAGCAGCCTGCACAGGATAATCATCCTTCTGAGCTGGGGAAGGCAAGTCCCTTTTCACATCGTTGTTATGTACTTTCCATGTCTCACCGCTGGATTCCCATCCACGAGCATTCATTGGATGCCTGCTTTGATCCCATTCAGCACCCCCATACATGTGATTCTCATCCCTAAAGGCACCATTACTCACATCCCATAGATGCAAGTGGGAAGGGCCCGGACCATCCATCATGTTCTGCCACCCAAGTGGCCGCAAGTGACCGGGAAATCTCTCAGCGTCAGCCATATGATAAGGCATCCCAGAGTGGTTAATATCCATTGAAGGTCTAACACCAAAAATTGGTGGAGCTGGAAACTGCTGTAGCATCCCTTGAAAACCACCATGAGGTGCCCCATGTTGGAAATGCATGAAGCCATTTGGAACTGGTGAAGTCCAGCTTGGAATGCCCCTCCATGCATTACCATTACCATGCCCTCGAAGCACATTGGGATCACTACTCCTTCTGTAACGTGCACTGGAGTTGCCTCTACCATCTTCTTCCATTGAATTAATAAAAGGGCTGTCAGCTCCGGCCCTGAAATTGGGATGAGGAGGATACAGAGAAGACAAATTACTCTGACTACTTCTATTGTGAGCTGACGAATCAGCAGGAGATGACTCGTCTACCAAAGGCTTCTCTGATGGCAGGTCCCGACCCAGTCCATCCTCAGTGTTAGAGAAATCTCTATTGTCCATGGAAGCACTGCTTCTTCGACCTGTTTCTTCAATTTCAAGACTCCGTCTGACACCAGTTCTGTTGACGTACCTGTGGTCAATACTTGA